GAAGAAATATCTATAAAAATGTCAACAAACTAGCACACCTACAATACTAAAAGGAAATAGTAAAGATGAAGCTAGAAACTGTTGTAAGGGGTGGAAATATCAATGTCAAATATATGCATAAATTAGGGATTTTAGATTTAGGGTTCCCAGTTCTAGTTTGGTTCCTATAGTAATCAGGAACTGAATCGAAAATCGACGGTTCCTAAAAAAATGGAATTGAGAACTGGAACCTCCCACCCTATAACCGAGAATTAAAACGGAACCACCGATCCAATTCTCCGGTTCCCAGTTCTATTCTGGAATTGTGCTCACCCCTAGTCGTTCCACTCTTAATGAGTCCCTTATGCTTAGCCTTTCCCCATCCCGGATCGTAGAGGAAGTTTGGAGAGGGGAATGTTTTGGGACAAAATGCTCTATTAATTTTGTTGTGTCGAATTTGATCGATGATACAAAGGGAATGTGACCCCTATATACATACTTCAGTATGTAGATCTTCCCTTGATCCCCAGATGCAGATCTAATTTTCCTACCTACCAACTAAACTCATTAATTACAAGAATCTTCTAGAATATAAGTGTACATTACCAATATATCATTGTGAACATTCTAGATTTCTCATCAAATCTTGGACTCTAAGAAGTTTCAAGACATGCTCAGTCATCTTGGCCACCTCCTCAGCCTATCATGCCTTGAAAACCTTCGGTCCCTGACACTAAGCTTATGGATCTTCCTCTAAATAAGTGGGGAGATAGGCTCATGATGGCGAAATTAGACTAGAGGAAGAAGGAAAAAGAAGAAAGAATCGAAAGAACTAGCATATTGAAGGAGTTAACTGTCACATCCTCAATTTCAGTCCCTGGAAAATGGCTATGGTTTAAATTTGGTAGTTTTCCAATTGGAACCAAATTTTTACTCTTGTTTTGGAAAAACGATATTTCGGATCCTTGGTACCCCTTCGTTTTGCTATTTTTGGGGAGACTTTTGTGATCCGAATTTCCAAACACTTTCTTCTTGAAAGTTGTTCCAAATATCATGAAGTTTTACATACTTTAATTTCAGAATTTTTGGAATTGATATGAGTGGTACGATGGCCTGATTTTCGGACCGTGTAAAACTGCCCAGAATGGGTATTTCGGTGATGTTCACACTGTCTTGATTTTCTACAAGCTTTTCTGGGACGATTTTGGAAAAGTTTCCTTCACAAAAGTTGTTGAGAACGTCCTTTTCTATAACATGTATAAATTTGGGAATTTTCCGAGATGATTTGGATTCTGGACAAAGCTTAATTTGAGAAACCAGAGTCCCATTTCAGCGAACTGTTTTTAGTCTGTCTTTGAGCTACTAAAAATGGTGTTTACAGAAAGATTCCGAAATTTGTGTTCTTCACAAGAAATGTTTGGTAAAGTCTTTTTTATGACATATTCAAATTTTAGAATTTTCGGAGTCCATTTACTATATTTTCAAGCTCGATTTCGTGAACAGTGCAAAGCTGTTCGGTTTTATAAGATTTCCAAGATTTATCAATTTCTATTTGAGAACGTTGGAATCTCAACTTGATGTCTTTTGGTGATATTTAAGGACATTTCCGCGCCGAAGCTCGGGTTGAATGAGATTATTATACGTGTTTTGTCGTAGAAAACCCTCGGAAATCAAGGAATTGATTATGATGCGGGTTTACGACTTGAGTGTCGATTAGTTGTTATTGTGCAAACTGATGGTGCTGAGTCATTGTGAGCCGAACCGACATTTCTAGAAGACCGAAATAGGCTCCGTGTTTGTTTTGTTGGGAAGAAACTAGAAGATAAGGCTTTGTCATGGTCAAAGCTTCTCCTTCAAGCTTCCATCATTAAGTTTCATTAATGCCATTAAATGGCCCTTGACTTAGAAGCCCTATTTCATGATGACAAGCATTAATAACATTAGACTTTGGAGGTCCTATCATTATGGGACACAAGGCAAGGCCAACCAAGGGAACCATCGTGAAGGCCATTCGGCCGTGAGGAAGGAAAAGAGAGAGAGAGAGAGAACCAATAGGGAAAGGATGAGTCTTAGCCTTCATCAATTAACCCATAAATGCTCATAAATACTTGGATGACATATGCCATGACTCAAGCAAGGCCATCATGACTATGGTGCACATTAATACTTGGCTTCTTCTCCAAGCCTATTTGTCTATAAGGAAGCAAGAAGCCTCACGTGAAGCCCCCCCCCCCCCCTTCTCCTCTCTCACGCCATCCTCCAATCCCACGCCAGCATCTTCTTCTTCTTCCTTTGTTCTTGTTTTCTCACTTTGGCCGAGAAGCTCACGCCCAAAACCAACCCCGAACCGGCCCGTGTTCCTACTCGTTCCCATCCAAGAGCCACGGTTTGGCCTTGGTAGGCCTCGTCTTGGTCGGCCAAACAAGGAGGAAGCAAGGAAAGAGCCCGAAATTTCCCGAGCTCGCCCGTCTCGAACCCCGTTCTCTAGTTTTGTTTGTCATTAAGTAAGTGAATTCCCTAATATCGGGAAAGGAAGTTGCGATACGTTGTAACATGGGTTGGTTGGCCCGTTTCCTAGTTTCATGGTTGTTCGTTGTTTCTCATCTAATGATGTTCACGTGTGATACTCACGTTTGATGTTTGTTTGGTTGGTTTTGTAGCATGACTTTGCTATTTTAAATGCCATTGATGCCGGTACGGTAAGAATTGACTTGTGTGAACGACGATTGTCTCGTCCTCGCTTGATATTAGTGTTTTCACTTGCTGAGTCTCCTCGACTCATCCCCCGTTGTTTCCCCTTTTTCAGGTCCGTAGGATGGCGTCTCCCCCAGCCCGCGTTGGCAATCCCGTGGAGCAGAGAGCCGAAGTGCTCACCGTGATAGATGTCAGTAAAGACCGCGCCTACCGTCGAATCACGACGCTTGTGATGTTCGATGAGGGCCTAACGGACTTGGTGCCTCAGGGCGGGCCGGCTCCGGGATAAAGCCACGGGTGGGATGTGAGATGGCCAGGCGGACGGGACCGGGGTGAAGGTGAAGAAGCGAGGAGCGAGAAGCCGTAGAGGGGATAGGATCACCCAAGCCGAGTTTTGTTACTCAGTCGGCTATGAAATATGTGTTGTCATGGCCCGAAGGGCTTGTTAAAACATGTTTGTATGCATTGTAAATATAAGGTTTGATCATGATGTTGTTTGTCTTATTTCCGCTGTGTATATTGATTGTGATTGTCCCGTGATATGCTTCCGCCTGTGTGTAACGAAATATAATAATGAACGGGACGTCGCATGAATGACCCCGAGGTAGGGGCGTCACATTAACTCTTCTTTTTGTAGTCTTGAGTTCTAGCTTTGTTGGAAACACTCAAGAAGTATAACGCTGAATGCACTGGATCAACGTAAGAGAGTGTGCCTTTAAGATCAATCAGGAGGTGGACTAGTTGAGAAGTGCAAAGCTGACCCGAGCACCACCTACCATTCTACACCAGAGAATATACCAATGTGCTGTATCTTTAATTGTTTAGCTCGTTCAAGAGGTTCTAGTTGAAGGGAGAGGAAGAAATCATTTTGAATATTGTGAAAATTGTCAATGTGAACTTTCTTAAAATAAAGAAAAAATTTAGATACTATTACAATAAGTTGTTGATGTATTATTCAATAAATCAAATTCACCTGCCCTAAAATTGACACAGTGACAAGGGCATTCTCGTGCTTTCAACTTAGAAATTGATGGTTGCGGGCTTGATTTTTGCCCTTTAAAGTAGGGAGCCATATCAGAGAGTTGTTGTGTTAGTCCTCCTCTAGGTAGTAGACTGATTAGAGTCGTGCTTCTACATTTTAAAAAAATAAAATCGAGTTCATCAACACAAGTTATTGAAATCCCATGCATCGCACAAATTTGATTATTGATTGCTCATAGTTTTAATTTCGATACTATTATTCAGTAAAATTATAATCTTATTTGTTTAAAACTTTCTATAAAATTTACATGAACGAGATTTTCTATATTAATAAGCCAGCAGACCTTATGGCTTTACATGTAGCTCTAAATAAAAAGGAAAATTTCAATGGCCCAAGATGGATATTAGGGGTGATCGATTCTAGGGTGGGTAGGTTCTGGGACATGGAACCTACCCTGTTATAACCGGTTCCTAGTTTTTTGAACCTGCAACCTATCCTGTTTATCATGGAATCTGTTTTGGAACCTAACATATTTTTCCGATCAAGTTTCAAGGTCGACTTGATAACCTGTTTTTCTTTTGTTCCTTTTTTTGGTTTCATTTTTTCCAGCAAAATAATATGAGTAGTAATGAAAGGATTCGAAGTAAAAGATGAATAATAAAAATCAATATCCGTTAAAAGCAACAATCCCTAAGATGAGCAATAAAAATTACTATTCATCAAAAGCAACAATCCAAAATATAGTAATACTATGATCTACGTTTTTTTTCTAACACAAACTAAAAACCGATTCCAAAAACCGGTTCGGGTGGGTCTTCACTTGGAACCGAGAAACAGACAAGTTCCAACCGGTTTCCAGACCAGTTCAAACAGGAACCGGTTCCTGGACACGTTCTTGGGTGGTCCAGTCCGGTTCCTGGATAAACCGGATCCGGTTACACACCCCTAATGGATATTCATGATTACAAATTTATGGATGTTGGTGATTATTTGAGTCCACTTTGAATCTTAGGACTCGAAAATTAGAAATCCCCACGAGCGGCCCGTGGGAGGGTAAGATTACGTGGGTCAAGCTCAGCCCACTCACTCTATCCGCTCTATCCGCATATCCCCGCGGTGGACCCCCACCAAAACCCCGTGCGCCTGCATCCACAGGAAGCAAAATCTCGTATTTCCATCTGACCAAATTGCCCCTGCCCTACCCTCTCTCCCTGCTGTGAGCTCCCCACGGTAATATCTCCCACCTATATTCCCGTGGAATATTCCCGTGGGCGAGGGCGCCGACGTCATTTCACCACCGACCACAGATCGAAGATCTTCTCTCTATCTGTGTCCGGAGAGGCTTGGAGAAATTCTTGCATCTAACTTTCCGCTTCGCATCCGAACGAGGAAGAAGAACCCAAGATCGGAGCTTGAAAGTCTCTCTCGGCGGCGTGTTGTTGAGCTTACTGTGTGCGAGGATCGAGCTATGGGGAGGACGTTCTTCGTCGGCGGCAACTGGAAATGCGTGAGTCAACTGTCCTTTTGTTCGCCGTTCTCGGGCTGTTGGTGATGTGCGCATTTTGGATCGTTTGGTTTTGGTTTGATCTGATGTCTGCTTGCTTGCTTGCTCCGGGGGAAGATTGGAATTGGGTATCTGTAATGAAGCGTGAAAAAGCTTGTTCCGTTCGGAGAACGACGGATCGAATCGATCCGTGCTCTGTCTTGTGGATCTTGCTAGCATTTCTTCGATCGCGGACGGAGCATCGGTTTTGTTGCTCCGATAGAATCGTTTCTTTTCGCTTCTGTCTCTGATTGTGGGTGGAGTGAGATGATTAAGTGACTGGTGGATGTGCTTTTGTAAAGTTCACATGGCATTTGATCTCCTCGTTCACTGAGCTAAGTTACCCATGAATTAGTTTGGAAAGATTTAATAGCCGACGGAAATTTTGTTCATACCTGCGGAAATGATTTTGCTCGTATATGTGGGCGCTGCTTTCTCTTCATATGCCGTTTGAGCTGTTCTGCTTGCGATGCTGAATACGCATGATGAGCATGACGATGCTTAGCTTGCCTTTGAGTGTCTGTGAGTAGCTTTAAGTTTCTAATTTTAATGTTTTTTGTGTACACTGCTTGAGTCTATTGTATGTAAATGAAATGATGCAGAATGGAACATCAGAGGAGGTCAAGAAAATTGTCGCCACGCTTAATGATGCGCAAGTGCCGCCACAAGAAGTCGTGGGTGAGTGAAGCGAAAGGACGTTTCCATTGTGCTTCCTTTATTAATCTTGAAATAGCTAACATCGCCTCGTTTTCAAGATGTATTGCCGTCCCAAGTCTTATCCAATGCTTGTCGTACAAAAGATGCCTCTCCAAGAAGCCTTAGCTCTACTGTCTCTTAGACTTGGATCACATATATGCAATGCTTGATATATCCATGGCAATCTTTCATATTTTAACTTGGAATATCTCGTACATGAGATAGAGGTCTGTTTAATACCTTATGAGGATTTCTCTTAATAGAAAGAGAGTAAATTTTTGGCTGAAAATTTTGATCGAAACTCCTCCCATCATTTCCTCTTTTCCTACCACAGTACAAGTTGGTCTTAACTTCTTTCTGGTAGGTCTGTAAAATTAATCTCATTAGATTGTCGCAAGTCACTGAGAGATTGTGAACTTCTGTGGAAAATTTCAGGTGAACTTGATGATTTTTTTAGTACTACTGGTCAGCTTGTATAATTTATGGAGTAAGTCCAACATTTTGGGGTGTCACAGTTGTGAATGATGTAGGGTACATTTGGAGATGCTTTTGTTGCTTTCTTTTCCCCAAAATCGAAGAGAAAACACTCTAAATATTGAAGATTATGGAAAAATTTTAATTGAGTGTAGATGTTAGTGTTTTTATGGATGTAAAGTTTAAGGTGTTCAAGGTTAAACAAAATCACCATTTCATGCACCACAGAAAAAGCCTTAAGCGAAAATTGTAAAGCAAAAGTCATCCCAGTCACACACATAAGAATCTGCAAATGGTTTTAAATTTAAGTTTACCATCTATTGGAATTTTATGTTATACAAATAATTATCAGGAGAGGTACGGCTGGTGATAAAAAGTTCTGCCATCAATCTGTTTCAATCAAGTTAGTGGGATTTCCCTGAGTTCTGATGTAAGTGTCCCTTTGACCAATACTGCATGTGGAAAGAGAATTTTCACTGGCCATTAGTCTAATCTAATAAAGTTGCAAGTGAATGCATGGTTTGACATGCAGATACATTCATCTTTGAAGATTCATGTCATGTATGCTGTGGCTCCAATGGTTTCTTCTAATAAGTTTAGATCTCATGTGTTATTTAAGTAATTAGGACATTAGTTATTGCAAGGTGATTTGAGATTTTTTATTTAAAAGGGGACTAATGGGTATGCTTTTTCCTGTCTCCATTTCTGAAATGAAGCTCATTTTGTTAGTGTTAGCACGTGATAGGGTCAACTTAATATTATTTTAGAATAAATTGATGTATAATCTTTCCTTTTCTTATCCTATAGAGGTTGTTGTGAGCCCTCCCTTCATCTTTCTTCCATTGGTGAAAAGTACGTTGAGGCCCGACTTTCATGTTGCTGCCCAAAACTGCTGGGTGAAAAAGGGAGGTGCTTTCACCGGTGAGGTTAGGTACGATCATTTGGATAAGTGTTTTAAGCTTTCACTAAGTTGTCTTTGGTTTAAACCCTGTCAAATACGTGTAAGTCTGTCATATATATCTATATATCACTATCATCTCATTCTTTCACTGTTGGGTTTTATGTTCAAGTTACATCTTATCCGTTGGCATGTTAATAGGGGCAATGCACATTGAGAGAGAGTTCTATGAAATAAACTGACTTTGATGCATTCAATACTGTTTTATAGTGCGGAAATGCTTGTCAATTTGGGCATTCCTTGGGTCATTCTTGGACACTCTGAAAGAAGACAACTTTTGGGTGAATCCAACGAGGTAAGAGTTTGGTGCTCTACTTCTTACTTTGTTGATGGTGGAATTTTTCTATGAGTTAAAATGATGAAGCTGTTTTACTTTGGATGTTCATATTGTTACAGTTTGTGGGAGACAAGACTGCATATGCACTGTCTCAAGGTTTGAAGGTTATAGCTTGTGTTGGGGAGACCCTCGAGCAGCGAGAAGCCGGAGCTACTATGGAAGTAGTTGCTGCCCAAACTAAAGCAATAGCCGGTATTTTACCTTAATTTTTCTGGACTATCTCTGTTTGCTGATGCTATTTCCCTGGAGAAATATGTCTCCTTTTACATCCAATCATTGCAGATGGATAGATTACTACTTTACTTCAATATTCTGGCAATGAAGAGTTTGGGGTTTTCTTTGTTAGTATAGGTTCTTGTAGGAAGCATCTGCACTTGCATTTGTAGCTGAAGATATGTGGTAAAAATTTGTCAAAGTTTCTATGTTAGCCACTTCCCTCTTTCCCATTGAAGGAGAAGGGAGTTTTTCCTTCCCATTGCACATACTTTCTTTCATGCTATGGAGAATGTTTATATAGGGTGTCTCCTTTCTCTTTTTTAACTTTTTAGAGGGTCACTTTTTATCAGATTGAATATATAAGGTTGTTCCTGACATGGTCAGACAGTTCCTTTTGTGCATCCTCCATGGTCTACCTTGGACATTTTCGTTATTTGTCATTTAGCCCATTAGAGCAGACATCATAAGTTGCACAGATATTGAGCTGTCATTTCCAATCTTGTCGCAGAGCGCATTTCAAATTGGGCTGATGTTGTAATTGCTTATGAGCCTGTGTGGGCTATTGGAACTGGAAAGGTTGCAACTCCAGCTCAGGCGCAGGAGGTAAGTCGAGCCTTAACTTTGTTAACCTATTTAGATGACTTTTTCGTTGGCCCAGTTTTTGATGTTTATAGGCCTACATATGCAAACGCGATTCTCTTATGCATAGTCAGCAGATCCTTTTATTTGCCCCGGTGATAGTTCTTAACTAAGAGAATCAAATGGATTAAGTGTCAATGTTACTTTGATGACTCTATTAAGTGCTGAAAAATGGTAGGTTCCAGTAGTTGAATGCATTCAATATCTTTGATAAGGCAGAACTGACTGTCGCATGAAATAGTTTCAGTAAAACTTCCGTTGTCTTATCGAATATCTATACCCTGACAGAAGGCACTCAGTTGTCATTGAAGACAAATCTGTTGACAAATCTGCCTCGAACATCCCTAGATTCCTCACTTTGTTAATTTTCATCTGCAAGTGGTTTCCATGTAGATTCTTCTCTTTTTCTTTTCTGGTGGGGGGTGCAGTTAGGGAGGGGAGGAGGAGTGCGGTTGTTGAGGTTGCTCAACCTGATTTATATGGATCAAGCTGATGAATCAAACTTATGGGAATGAAAAGGTTATAAATTAGAACTTCCTTTCCAGAGCCATCTCTGTTCCAACTTTTGTGATACTCCATCACCATATTGTCCGAAACATACATAGCCAAAGCTTCTGGTTCTGTAATATCCTCTTTTGAAACCGAAGCACTTGTGAGCGGAACCCTTTTATCGCCAACCTATCCTAACCTTCTCTCCACCATACTCAGCCCTACTGATTCACCTTATGACCATGTGTTGAGTTGACAAAGCTGTGAAGTCAATAGTCTAGCATTAAGGAGTTGCTCTTAACTTCTCTGAAGAAATTTACCAACTATGAGAAAATGGATTTTAAGCATCATGATGGCGATAATGGCTGTACTTTAAATAACGTCATTTGTGAACTGACAGTTTGTCGAAGGCTTAGCTAGACTTTTTGGCTTTTGTGGTCCTTTGCCTTCTTTATTTTGGCTTCTTCTTCACCCATCAATAAATGCCTTCCGAATCTTCCAGAAAAGGATTTTTGTTCCATATCACCTACTTTAGTTTTCCCTTTGAGAGTTATATTCATGTAGGGACTCAGCAGGTATGGCAGAAATTACATGCCAAAACCCTCCTTGAACAGCCTGTGAAAATTCTGCATCACGATTGATTATGACTTTTTAATTTCATTGGCTTTGAATCTTGATTTGATGTTTCTTATTACCGATTGGCACTGCTATCTAATTAAGTGGTTACTCACTGTAGGTTCATTTTGAACTAAGGAAATGGCTACACGCAAACACTAGTCCTGAAGTTGCAGCAACAACCCGTATAATCTACGGAGGTATGTTTGTTGTGCCATGGTTGAATACGCATCATTTGACATGATATATATATTCTCATATAGTCTATAGAGATGTATCGCATTTCAAGGAAGAGAATACATCACTCTTAAGGCCTTTGTGAGGAAGAATTTTGCAGAGCATGCAGTGATGCAATTTTTGTGTTTTGACTCAATTCAAGAAGAGACATAGGATTTGATTTAACAGTGTGAGTGAGTCATAGAAGTGCTAAATTCACTTGGGATGTAAGCAAATAAGGCTACGACAGCCAGTTGAACTACATCCTGGTTGCTATGGGGACTGTGAAGCTTAATGTTTGACTGATGTCTGGCTTAAGCTGAATAGTATCTGATTGAATAGCTTGCCTGACTAAGCTTAATGTTTGACTGCTGTTTCCTACACATTTTATATGAAATGAGTATCACTCCTCCTAAACATATGGAAAGAAAGAGGGGCAAAAAGGTTATGCAGGGAGCTTTTATCTCATTATGATTGATTCAACACTTTGTTTGGCTTAGAGGTGAGTTAAAATTGGACCTGTTCATGGTCTAGACTTAGGCAGGCTTGGGCAGGCCCCATGAGATCTCTAGGCTCAAATTGTCAGTTTGGCTGCTCCCGTATTAGGCCTAAAAACTATGTCACAAATGAGACGAGTTAAATAGCCAAAGTATTGAGCTAGGCCACGTGTCATGGGGGATGCCACTTGCTGAGACCCCTGCCTTAGTTTGATGAACCAAAATGTCGTCCAAGCCTGCCCAAATGTGAGCAGATTGGGTGGCCCATGAACACCTCTAGTTAGAAGCCAGCCTACGCAAGCCAGGAAACTACTCCAACACCCTCCTCTTCGGGGCTGCATTTGAAGTCCAATATTTAAGCATAACATACATACATACTTAGGAAATTCTTTATCATATAGTGTAATATGCAATTAGACCATAACTTATTGCCAAAAGAAAACTAATAACAAAATCCATATTAAATCCAGTGACCAGTACATAGCAAGTGCAAAATCATGTGCGTTGTCCTCTTAATGGCAAAGATGATTAATTGTATTACCTCATTTACCATATTTTCTATGTGTCCATTTTTCTTCAACAGTTCACATGTGCACAACTTGAATTAATATTGTCACCCCATCCAGTCTTTTCCTTCTCTTAGAAGTGTGGCATTCCTGTTACTGTTGTATTCTCGGTGACTAGCCATTGTGCCAAAGCAAAGTCCGATTGATAATGAGGCAAGAGCTACTGCCTTGGTAGTGGCACAACAAATTTTTCTTCTCCTTTGGCTTATCTTTTCTTTTGTTTTTTCCACTTTGGGGGTCCTTGTCAAATCCCTGTTATATGTCGCGTGAAAGCTTTTTATATGTATCTTTGCTTTCATATTGCTATAAACCTTTTAAATATGGTGGACCTTTACAACGTGGCTTTGCTGTCACAGTGTAGATACTACAAACATTGTGTGAGCCATTTAATATAGTTTTCCTCTGAAGTTAAATTTCACCAGTTGATTGGAGGTCTCTGCATTATATGAAGCTTGTGAAGCAGAGCGCATGATCTTGACTCCTCAAATATTTTTCATTGTAAATCGCTTTCATAACTGGGTGTTCTTGGCAGGTTCTGTTAATGGTGGGAACTGCAAGGTGTTGGCAGCTCAGCCAGATGTTGATGGATTTTTGGTTGGCGGTGCTTCGCTCAAGGTATTATTGTTGCCTTTGCATATTGCCCATCTAGTTTCCCATTCTATAATTGTTAGTCATGCTTTTGTTCTATTTTTCAGCCGGAATTCATTGATATCATCAAGTCTGCAGAGGTGAAGAAGTGTGCCTAAGCTCTTTGGTTCTAAGTCGCTGAAGTTTTCTTCTGGAGTGGCAGTGAATTCCTCTTGATATTCAAAAACATGTCTTTGAGGTCGTAAGCTTCCATAGATTTGGTTAGTGCCGTGACGGATACCGTTACTCATTAGTAATAATCATGACTCTTGAGGTTTTTATTACGCCTCTGGATGCTTAATTTTGCTTGAGCAACTCGAATGCATACTTATGTGCACAGTGAAACCTTCGTCGACTCGCAATTTTTCTCAGTACTATAAATCACGAATGGAATGCTTTGAGACACTGGATTTGATGGAACTGCAGAATCGTGGAATTTTTCCTACAGCAATAAAATTTCCCGCACTTCATAGGTTTCTGCTGCGGACTACTTCGTTGTTTTTAGGCCGATCTTCTACAGGATCTTCCTGTGCTTATTACAATTATAGGCTCCACGACTTCACTATTCCTACAGGTTCGTTTGCTGGAGGTTGGCCAAAGGACTTCGATACCTCAGGAAATCATTAAACTCGCGACAAATTCGTGCTATGCGCCATTCCAAAACCAAAGTCGGCGCTCTGAGTCTTGTTGGGATCGATCTCCTGGCGAGAGTTTCTTCCTAACGCGGCCTTTCTAAGTGGGGGTTATGCCTTTCTCAACATGCCCGCAACAATTCCCTACTCATCATTGCACGAGCCGGAGTTCATGCATGCGTAGATATGATTTATGTGATGTGTTGATGCGGTGTCGAGGAACCAAACCGAGTGTCAATTGCGTTGTCAATGGGCAAGATCATCTCCCTTACTAGACAAAAGATTTGGTGGGTACGGACTTGTGACCTCATCTTTTTACTTTTTAATGGGAGGAGAAACGTTGAACCAGCTTGTCCAACGACATCGCCGTATAGATGAAGTGCATCAGAGTCAAAGCATGCCAAACGCAGAGACGTACATTGAATTCGCAGTCTCCAAATGTGAACCCCTCGGCGGTCTGAAGAAGACGTCCTAGTCTCGCCTTAACCTCTAAATAAATATATGTGGCCGCAGAATCAATCCACGTGGGGTTTCTCCTATAATATCGTCCATCGGGATTTTAAATTTCTGCCTTAATTGTTTACTCGTGCAAGTGTGTATTTGTTATGATGATAGGAGCATATAACCAAGGAGAAATTGTACCAATCGTTTGCTGTCCTATGATGCGAAAAAAATAAATGTTTGAGCAATTGGGCTTAGGTCTTTTATAATTATTTTTTGGATGGATGTTCAAATCCATTAATAGATGGTTTGCCTTCAATAGGATTGAGGATATGAACCGAGTGCAAGATCCACCGACCATGGTAGTCCAGTGGCGAATGGATCAACATTGTCTTCGATGACCACGAGTCCGAGTCACATGTCGTGAACAAACCTTTGCCCTGTTTGTGCTTCGGACATATGTTACCTCATGTGGAGAGACTTCTCAAATCCGAGCACGTCGGTGAGGCTGGGGTGATGGACTTGTAAACCTGCGATCGGATTGAATAATTATGGCCCAGGTTGAATATCTGGTAGTGAGTGCTGAACCCTTATGGTAACATTCAGAGAGATAGCTGTGTGCTGGTCAACTCTCCCAGTGGATTCATACACTAACTTAACTTGTCGAGAGACATGAGAATTTGACACGGATGACTTGAAATTCACATAATATGTTTTCATCGATATATTCATAAGAGTAACTACCAATACAAAATGACACGACTTCAATTAGATCTGATCAATGGCTTGGTAACCCATAGGCCTTCTTGGGTCAACGCAATTAGAATATAGAAGTTAACATGAATAATTCGAAACTATCATAGCTTAGACATACTTCCAGAAATAAACTTTTCACTAAACAAAAGGGTAAATGACACAAATGGTCTTAACATTTGGTTCAATATGCAATGTGGTCTCTGAATTTTAAATTTATTCAATGTGTTCCATAAATTTTAGCTCAATGTTTAATATCGTTATGATCATTTAATTTGTTTAATATGATCTCTAGATTTTTTGTACAAGTTCAATTTAGTCCTTAGACAGTATGAAAATATTCAATGCTATCCCTGAAATTGAATTAATGGAAGGACAATATTGAATATTTTCATACAGTTCAGGGACTTAATTGAACATGTACCAAAAGTCCATGGACCATATTGAACAAATTAAAAGATGAGGGACGACATTGTATATTGGGCTAAAGTTCATGGATCGCATTTCATATTACACATGGGGTCAAAGTTCAAGAATCATCTGTATCCTTATCTCAATACGAAATGACCCAGCTTTGATTAGATTTGATCACGAGCTCGGTAGCCGATGGGCCTTCTCGTGGCCGCCCCCCGGAGAGCAATGTGGACAGGTTCTGGATAAGCGTGACAGCAGCACACCAAAAATTGTTGGAAAGTAAAACCATGAAAATTGAAACTACGTTGTTCTTTGCACACGCCATGCTTTCCTATTTATCGCGTCACCAAATTCGGACAGCTTCTCGATTACATCGGAGGGAGGAGGGATGAGGGTCATGCGAGCATCCACATTCACAAACTGACAAAACGAAGAGAGAGTCGGGGGACAAAGAAACGTGAAGACAGTAATGATCTTTTATTGCACGTTACGACGTCAACGTCGCCCGATAAGATCCTGAAAAAAAGGCAGCGATGGATGGATGGATAGCTCAAGTTTTGCTTTTGGAAAAGAAGTCAAACTCGACACCCTCCGACGATGAACAGCAAAGAGTCACGAGAGACTCACTCTCCTTTGTCCTGCATTTCTCTGTCGAATCCATTTTCAAAATCTTGCTGCGTTCCCACTTGCAAAACTCTGCCCAACTTGCCATTGTATTTGACTCGTGTCTCTCTCTCTCTCTGTCTCTGTCTCTCTCTCGCGCAGCAAAATCCCGAATTTTCTCGATTATATTAAAAGAATAGATTAATTGACAAATGGGTTTTCTTTTTATTGGTACGTAAAGTTGTATAAGGTTGAAATTATTGATCAACTCTTCATGCCGAACAAGTTGTGCTTTAATTGAACAAATGTGTCAACGTTGGAGGCTGTTGGATTGGAGGGTGTGAGCCTAAGGCTAATTTGGAATTAAAAGGCTGCGGAAATATTATTTAAATGGAGGATGAAAATTAAAGAAAAAAAATAAAAATGGATGGAGTTTTTCTTTGTTTGGGTTAATATCACAAAAAATCAAAACTGATACATTTTTGATAAATTTATTCCAAATTAATTTTTTGACCACTAAAAAATCTCAAATTAGTACACATGTGACAAATTTACTCTTCACCAGTTTTCGTTCAATTTTACTGTCAAATTACTGAGTTGGATGACACGTTACAGTTAATGGGTGTACCAGATTGGGGTTTTACCCTTCGTCTGTCATAGGTGTACCAGTTTGTGATTTTTCGTGGTATTAATCAAATTTAATGGAAACTAACAGACGATAAATTTATCACAAATGTACCGGTTTGGGATTTTTGGTGATAAAAAATTTAGTTTTGAGTAAATTTATCACATATGTACTGTTTTGTGGGTTTTTCATGGTATTAATTCTTCTTTTTTTTTGGCAAACAAAAAGTGGGTTGAGTTCAATTAGCTAGATTAGGTAAGTTAGCACTGAGAGATCGAATCAGAGACAGCTTGCTCTAGTTGCATAGAAAAAAGGGCATTGCCTCCTTAATTATATTTCAATGAATCCACCAACCGCTGTTTCCACCTTAATTTTGCCAAACTTTAGATTCTTTGTCTCATTGTTGTTTGCACTCACTTAATTTTTGCTTGGACATAAATATTCTCTTCGATGAAAATTAATCGGGTTAGAAAAAAAATGGACTTCATAGCCTTGCCTAAACATGACCTCGAAAAAAAAATTGATCGGGTACCTAAGTCTTATTCTAGGCAACAAAATAATGGAAACCACACAAACTTTGAGCCAAATTATTGTGTTTAATATGGTAACCCTTTTTTCGACCAAACAAAAAAATGGTAACCCTTTTTATTAAACATGATTATCCCTGTGATGCAAAATCATGTGATCTTTCCAAAAAGATTATTAGGGAGCAAATATACAATAAGAGAAGGTGGATGTGTCAAATTGAGAATCTATGGAACATGAGCTTTGTGAAACTCAACAAGAAGCAACTCAAAGTTAAGAAACTCACAAAACTTGGACCCTAATTTCCACAATTATTGGCATAAAGTATTAAACGAAATGAGAACTCGAAGGCAACAACTGACCTCGTTTAAGTTAAACGTGGCATAGCTCCGGATTTCTTATGCTAGTCGCATCTGCTGTCTCCACTGTGATATCCACGCATCGATCACACATCACTCCTCGTCGTACCTAATTCAAATCCCACTAAACCTTAAGACCCGACCCTCCAAACGGAGGAAATGAAAATTCATCAGCCCAATTTTTTCCTCAACAATTCTTCACCTGAGTTCTCAATATTAAAAACACAGTATAAGAGTCAGCCCGACCTATCTCGACTCATGAAGATATCAAGGGTTTCAAATTCATGGTTTTTTTTTTTATTTTTTATTTTTATGAATTATGGAAGTTTCGACATTGGCTTCTTAAGTCAGTACTCAAGTCGTGCCGTACCTTTCCATATCCACCATCCTTGGGCGGGCATAGGTATTGGGAAAGTGAGTTAGAATTCGTGGTCAATTAGTCGCAGCTCTCACAAGATATAGAGTTATGGGAAAAATTACCAAAAAAACCATTAACCTATAATATGGATACCAATTCAGTATCAAAACTTTTTAATTTAACTAATTTAATTATAAACCTTTTGACTAGGGAAGAGCAAAAGAACCAGACCGAATCAGCTGGTTCTGGATGGTTCTCGCGGGAACCGGTTCTGTTCTTAGTTTCTAAAATTTGTAACCAGTGGACATCAGTTTGGTTCCCAGTCCCAGGTGTGAGCCCACCCACCCGGACTAGACCAAAATTTTTTTTTGGTGAGATTTTTTTATAAATTGTTTGAGTACAATTTCTAGTAATTCTAATTTAAAACTAATGTTGAGTGATCATTTATCAATACTTATTGTTGTTTTGATAATCATGTTTAGCTTATCATAAGCTTGTTCTATTAACGTAACTCGTGTAGTAGTTTAGACTATGTAACAACATTTGCAGTCTTGCAGGGAATAGGGAAAAAAAAAAGGAAACATGGTCGGTTCTTGAAGTCACCCAAGAATCGGATCGGACCCATTGGTTCGGTTTTTAGGTGGGTCCATAACCACGTGGGCCGATTCCCGATTCCACAAATTGAGAACCGGTTTTTCTGGTTTGGTTCCTGATTCTAGGATGAGAACCGGCTCACTTTGAAATTGATTACCCATACTTTTGACGATTTGCTAATGCAATCCTTTTGGACTATTTTAGTTAGCAATTGCTGATGTGAACTCTGGCCATCTTACATGATATGGTCGGCGCTGATATGGATAATTTTTTATATTTTTTTAAATTTTTTGAATTTTATATAAATATTTTGAATTTTTTCTTTTCTTTTTCTTTTCCTTCTTCCTTTGCCGGCCTCTAGCAACCTTCGCCAGCCCTCCCCAATGGCCTGTTTCTGGCCATGGTGACCAGTGGAAAAAGAAGGAAAAAAGAGAAAAGAAAAAAAGGAAAAAATTCAAAAAGATTAAAAAAATTGTCTACTACAGTGCCAACCGCGCCACGTATTTGACCAAAAAAAAACCGTGCCATGTACAGTGGCCAGTGTCCACTTCAATAATCTGCTGAAAAATAAAAGGCCAAAAAAACGATTTTCTTTTTTTAACATTTTAGGGAGTGGAAACTGAACTTCCTTTTGGTTCTCCCATAAAACAATGTTCATTTTTTGAACACATGTTTATAAAACTAAGAAAAAAATTATAAAAGTGCAAAAGACTTCTTTTTTAGTTATACATATTTTAAAAGAAAGAAAAAAATGGGTCGTGAAAAACATTCTTAGTTTTCAAAAGGAATAATGAAAGAACTTTCCAAAAGAAACCCAATTCAATGACCGAAAAAGACCACATTGGTAAATTGTTAGGATCTTTAGGACTAAACTAGCAAAATTGACCCACCCATGGGTAGCTCGGTTGGTTAAGGCGTACTTGGGATTGTGTGGTTAGGTGCACTGGTCCCAAGTTCGATTCCCCAGCTGAGCACTTGTGATTTAAGTGGGGGGCCATGGTGGTGGGTTGCTGTGCTAGTCTCCCTCGAGGAACAGTCGAGGTGCGCGCAAGCTGGCCCGGACACCTCGGTTACCAAACAAAAAAACTAGCAAAATTGAAAGGATTTTTTTTTTTGGTAATTATCCCTATATGATTGGGAAAGTAACAACGCAAACCAATACAACCTTGATTGTGTATGTAATTCTTGATTAGGAAAAATGATAACGATCAAGCTGTTCATCTAAGTTTCCTAATTTACTTCACAAATCCTGCATAGAGTTTCGATATTTGATGCAAGGGAGAATCTTAGCAGCCACGCAATGTCTGTCTTATCGTCGTTGCATGAGAGGGGTTTAGACAAGGATAAGCCCCAACCTTATTAAATGCAATGGATGACACCCACCATCGTGCCATTTTCCCAACCCCTCTCTCTCTCTCTCTTAATTGTTCCAAAGTCAACCTGTACACTCTTGCATTCACAATTGAAGTTCTTTTCTCGTTCTTCTGGTTTTGTCTCTTTTGTGGTTGGGGTTGTGGGTAGGCGGGGAACTTCCCAAGGACAAAGTGACGAAGCAGCAAAAACCGATTTCAACTTTGTCCGCTGCTGGTTGGATGCTTTCAATTGGGTCAAAGCATTCAATTGGGCAGTTGCGTTCCTGGGTGACAGCTTCTCTTGAATCACAAAGCCCGCCCAAAGCTTTCACATTGTAGACGATAGACGTCCTCTCTTTCTTTGTTTCTTTCACGGGCTTTGCTTGTTTCCAACCAGAGCTCTCTTTCTTTGTTTTTTCACCCCCCCTTTGGCCTTTTTTTTCTCTCCCTTTATAGTTGTTTCCGAAATTGGGGAGCTTTTTACCGTTCTTGTTCTCTCCTATCTCTTCATCTCTGTCTGAAGAAGTGGTGGATGAGAGAATAGGGGAGATTGAAATCTGGGTCTGTGTTTTCTTGATTTCTAGTGATGGGTCCTTGCTTGAGTTCGCAAATCAAAGCCGAGAGTCCTCTTCATATAGGTATGCACGCCCGTTTGAAGCTTTTGTTGCATGATTTGAGCTGAGTTTATATCAAGAACAGCCGTCATTTTGGCTTTTGAGGAACGATTGCTGCAATTCTTGATAGGACATGCTGTTTTGCTTTCACTTTTTCTTTTGTGTTGATACATTGTATTTGATACTGATTTGGAGGGTCAAGAAGTAGAACTTAGAAGGGTAAAACCTGAAAACTGTATCCTTTAATAGTTGAAGTTAGAGATCCATTGCTACAAATAGCATGCAAAATTGATACCACATGATTGGCAGTTACTGACATCTCTCAGATTTCTTGGATATACATGTCCTTCTCTGGAATGGACTATTTGTAGCTTAAATTTTAGTGTAGTTGGAGTTCCAAAGAAAGAGGCACGGCGCTCACTGGTGCGTGGTAAAATGGTGCATTGTTCTGTTTGATAAATGGAACCAAAATCAACATGTGCAGGGGTGAATTTTTTTAATCGTGGAGAAGGAAACGATTCAAGTGATGCGAGCAGCAAGGCCTCCTCTCTTTCCGTACCTCAAACCCCTCGAACGGAGGGTGAGATATTGCAGTCGTCCAATCTAAAGAGCTTCACCTTTAATGATCTCAAGACGGCGACGAGGAATTTCCGTCCGGACAGTGTGTTGGGTGAAGGGGGGTTTGGTTGTGTTTTCAAAGGGTGGATTGATGAGCAGACTTTTACGGCTGCTAGGCCTGGAACTGGCTTGGTGATCGCGGTAAAGCGGCTTAACCAAGAGGGATTTCAAGGTCACAAGGAGTGGTTGGTGAGTGTCATTGTTAACATTCATTTTATTTATCCATATGTTCGAGAAATGGATATAGTTCTTTTTTCTTGCGAAATCTTAACCTTTCTGGGTAATAGAAATTAATTCAGAGCATCTTGGAATCAATGGAACGCCGCAAAAGTTTACTATTTACTTGTCCCACCGGAAGTAAATCGGCTTGCTGACTGCTAAGTGATAAAAGATAGAGGGGCAGGCCAAAAGGAGGCCTACCTCCACAACCCGTAAAAAAGGGCAATGAAAAGGGATAAAACAACGTATAACTCCAGTTTCAATTGAAGCAATATATTTGGAATGCATGGCTCCGAACTCTTTGACCAAGTGCAGAGTACTGTCTGTCAAAATCATGTTATGCATTTTCACAGCTAGCGAAGAGCAATGTACTTATTTGTGGGTAGTTCACGCGTTACAGAATACAACAGAGCTCTCCATTTAATAGTCAGTAACATGACATACTGTTCAGTAGAGATGGTGTCGCTGGATAAGTTTTATGAGTTATGAGTTACGATTTCCTTGCTTCGCTGAACTGGACCTCCTTGGTGATTGGACAAAGATCTCTTCTAGAAGTCCTAGTACTTGGATGTTTGCTAGTCAATTCTGTAAATATTAGATAGCACATTAGAAATTGTTTATAACAAAAAGGCAGAAGTCTGTCTGTATTGCTCAAGTGCCAAACACTGCACGAGTGTCTTGGAACCGATTTCTCTACCTCGCTTCATTCCGAAAGAAATTCTGCTTTCAAATAATTAGACAATGAAGTTAATGCATCTACTGTTAATTTCAATGAGACGATGAAGTTTACTTATCTGCTGGTGAATTACAAACTGTAGGCGGAAATCAACTACTTGGGCCAGCTGTATCATCCTAATCTTGTGAGGTTGGTCGGTTTCTGCTTTGAGGATGAGCATCGCCTTCTCGTATACGAATTCATGCCTCGGGGAAGCTTGGAGCATCACTTGTTTAGGAGTGAGTTTGTTGATGTACTTCCATGTGTTCATCTTTTCTTTGACCCAACGACATAATTATTCTGCCTTCAAAACAATTTTGTCAGATTTATAATTTGAAACTTTTAGTATTGATGAACAGGGAGTTCCTATCATCATCCGCTTTCTTGGAAACTGCGTATCAAGGTTGCTCTCGGTGCTGCTAAGGGACTTGCATTCCTCCACAGCGACAAAGTGAAAGTTATTTACCGAGACTTCAAAACTTCCAACATCTTGCTGGATGCGGTATGCCATTGTTATGGAATTGTCTGTTTTTGTTGTTTTGCACACTGGATGGTTGTTAATGTTTTTCTTGTCCTACTTCATTGAATGGCAGAACTTTGACGCTAAACTGTCAGATTTTGGATTGGCCAAGGATGGGCCGACAGGGGGTAAGAGCCACGTCTCTACAAGAATCATGGGTACTTATGGATATGCTGCTCCAGAGTACATGGCCACAGGTATCTTCCCCCTCTTATTTTGCAGACTTTGTGTCCATATTTAGATTGTGAAATCCCGATATGTCATTATTAGCATTAGTGCACATGTACTATTTAATACCAAAAGTTAATGCCCCTGTCCAAATTTATAATTTAACATAGTCTCAAGAACCTGTTTATGCTGGATTTGGTTTCCTGTACCTTAGCATCAGATGGGATTCTTAATGTATAACCAGAACCTTTGTCTATGAATACGATACACCCTTATTCACATGCAAAATAGAAACACTCTTTCTGTTTGCGCGCCCATGTGGGAGTTACAAACAACACGGTATCTAACTGTATTAAGGGAAGGTATTTGAAGATTGTGCATTTCAGCTATGTAGTACCAATGTCTCGCTCTATGAGCTGTCTCTGTCACAATTAATTTCAACGTATGGTGCGCCATGATCAAGCTCCTTTTATCTCTCTTGTTTCTAGTGCTTGTTCTTTAATTGATTGGAGTTCTCGTTCTTGACGTGATCAAACTGAACCAGCCCCTTTTGATCTTTGAATCCTTTATGTTTTCTTAAAGGGCATTTGACGGCAAAAAGCGACGTGTACAGTTTTGGGGTTGTCCTTCTCGAAATGTTGTCTGGTCGACGGGTAGTGGACAAAAACAGACCATCCGGAGAGCAGAATCTCATAGAATGGGCGAAACCTTATCTCTCGAGCAAGCGCAAGATTATCCATGTCATGGATACTCGTATTCGGAGCCAGTACTCATTGGGTGGAGCGCTGAAAGCAGCAACTGTTGCAATCAAATGCCTCTCGCTGGAGCCCAAGTCCAGGCCCAACATGAAGGAGGTGGTGAGAGCTCTGGAGCAACTCCAAGACTCGGAAGAGACCGCAATGAACGAAGCCCTACAGAACGCCAACAGAAACACGAATGTCGGTCCCAAGTACCGCCGAAGAAGTGCCAACGACATCAGCGACGTGAAACCTGCCATATATCCCCGGCCATCTCTTTCTCCTGTTCATTCTTGAGCAGACTCGGCAAACTTATTTTCTTTTCCACGTGCACTGATTCGGAGCTACAACTCAACTGATGGTACGGACTCTCACACGCATATATTGCATTCTGTTCGTTGCTGTACAGCTGCTGCTAGTGCTTTTGGTTTCGCATCGACGATTATAGCAGCATTCCCAGGGAGGGATGGAAAGCACGGAGATTCAAGCCAGAGCGGCTACATTCGGATGGCTGTTTTTCCATGGCTGACGAGCATACTACTAGGCCTTTGTTTGTTGTCATTTTATAATGTATCGGTCCTCATCTGTCGTAACATATTCATTAAATTCCCCCATTGCGGGTGTAATCTCCTCTTATCTGTGTACAGAGTCCTTGTACTCCATAATCTTGAATGCCCTGATCACTTTGTACAGAGCAAGGCCGAAAAAAGAAAGACCCGATAACCCGATACTTATAGCTTTCAGCATATACCGTCGTGTGTGGAAGGACTTTTACTTTTTACTCTTTTTTTTTAATTAAATCTAGATCTTTCGACGATTGCACTTTAACTTTCATATGAAATTTTCACAACATTGCAATAAATTCACGGATATATTTTTTTGTAAATTTTAATGGACTTGATATAATGTTTTAAAATTTGGGAATAATAAAATAGCACTTTTTATTTAAACAGGAATAAGCAAATAATTTAAAATATCATCAAAATTTAAAGAAATTATAGAAAACAATTACATATGAATCTACATAGTAATATTAGTATATTGTGAAAGTTTTGGGTGTTTCGGTTTAAATAAATGTCAGAGTGAATCCATCGCAAAATATAAATTTACCAAAACTTAGGAAGGAAAAGTCTATCCGAAAAAACCTTTAGAGCGGATGTAAAGTTAAAATTGCCTATAGTTGTCTTAATTTGCACTTTCATGAAAAAATGTGGCATAAGAAACACAAATAAAAAAGAAAAAAGAAATATTTTGTGCATGCACCGTAAAACTTCTTTCTATATTAGATGTGCTCTTTGAATAAAATAAATCGATTCCCTTTTCAGAATCAACTTTCAATATAATATATCTCAAGAAAACTAATTTCTAATAGGATAAAAGATTTAAAACAAAAGTCAATCTTTTCCTAATATTACATAATACAATAATAAATTGGGACGGTATATGTACATAATATGTTTTTGTCGCGGATATGGATATGATATGATAAAATATATGTTAACTCTAGTATTTATGTCAATTGATATGTTAATAAGTAAATTAAATAGATAGCAAATACTCCTCTATTACTATACTTGGCATCCTCTAATTTTAAAAACATATTTCGTACAATCTAGTTTTTAAATCCTATAATTTGCAATCTAAAGTTTCCTCGTAAGCGATACCTTCTTTGATTACCAAATTTTATTTACTTTTGATATACAATAAAAATAAAACATCATAGTAGAGTTTTTTTTTTTTGAGCAAGAGTAGAGTTAAACGATAAAGAAAAAAACTATTAATTTTGAATGAATGATTAAATGAAGGGAAAATGACACAAACAATCCCTGAACTTTGGTCCAATGTGCAATGTAGTCCTTGAAATTTTAATTTATTCAATGTACTCGTTGAACTTTAACTCAATGTGAAATGTAGTCCTTGAACTTTTAATATATGCTCAATTTTGTTCATGAACTATATGAAAATGTTCAATATATTCCTTCCATTAATTCAAGTTCAGAGACTACATTAAACATTTTTTCATATAGTTCAGGTATTACATTGAACATTTACAAAAAGCTCAGGGATCACATTGAACAAATTAAAAATTCAGGGATCACATTAAATAAATTAAAAATTTAGGGACTATATTAAACAAATTAGAAGTTTATGGATCACATTACACTGTACCAAATTTTAGCAACTGTTTGTTATATGAATGCCTTCATGATATTTATTAAATAAATAATCAAGGAAAATTTATCTCTCCTTTGTTATACGTAGGGTCAGGATAGTCTTTTCCTCTCAACCTAGAGGTTTTTGCTTTTTCCAGCTGAATTTTATCTCGAGGTTTAAGGCGTTTTCAGCTTGGCTCCTTTCCCATCTTTCGTTTCCGTTTTCAAGAGATGAGGATTGCTGCTGCTGCCACTTCAATGGCGATGCTCCAGCAAGCCTGCGCCGTCCCTCTCGCGCGCGCCGCCTCCGTGCGGCCCCTATCCCTCGCCGCGGCCGCCTCGCCCTCCGTCCCGAGCTCGGCGCCCTCGACGGCGCGGGACCCGCGCGTGCTCCTCGGCATGTCGGAGCAGCAGCTCCAGCAGCTCGCCGTCGACTTGGGTCAGGTATCCCCGGACGCCTACACGAGCGGTCGGATGAGAACTTGCTGTTCTTATCCTCCGGCTTTTCTGGGTTTTGTTCATTCGTTCGTAAGTTGTCCGTTGGTGTGATGAAAGTAGATTCTGCTTGCTATTTAGCGCTTGAATTATCCGATTGTTTTTCTTTTCCTTTTCGCTGAATGTGTATTTGTTGGTAATGGTGGTGAATTGCGTGCGGTTAGCAAAGCTATAGGGGGAAGCAGCTCCATCAGCTTATATACAAGAGGAAGGTCAGGGAGGTTGAGGATTTCAGTCAGCGTGAGTGTTTTTTTGTCATTAATTAGTTGCTGCTTTCTTGAACTTGGGTTACTTGTGACTTGTGAGGCATTTTACCTTTCAAGCGTGTAGAATTGTTGGCTTATGCTGTATTTGTTTTGGGAAATATGCGGACAGTGCCTCTGGCATTCAGGAATGAATTGCAAGGAGCTGGATGGAGGGTTGGTCGGTCACCGATTTATCGCTCTGTCACTGCAGCTGATGGCACTATCAAGGTAAAGGCACAAAAGACATACAACGGACTCTTAGTGTATCCCACGAAACGTCTCAGGAAATGGGAGCAAAGAAAATGATTAAACTTGTAGTTTCCTCTGACACGTTTTCTTCTTCCCTATATTTTTATTTGGTGGATTTATGGATGTTGCATTTCTTGAGCAGTGCGGTTGTTGCATTGTTGGAGTTAATCTAGTTGTGTCACCTGTTGTGAAAATTTTGAAACAGAGCTTAGAAAGTGTCTACCTTGTGGGAGTGCACATTTTTTCCTTTCTGGCTTTCTACTGTGAAGCTGCCCTCACTTCTCTGGTTTATGTTTCTCATTTGCCTGGAGTCATTTAACTTCTAGAACTTAGGCTTATATTAGAGATTATAATATTAAAATGGTAAACAATTCTCTCATCAAATGCATCGATGGTTTTTGTATTGATTCAGTAGGGATAAATCTTGTGCTTCATGATTGTTTATGACTCTTTCTTAGTATCTTGGCCTTAGCTCATCTGCAATCCACTAATCTGCAGCTGCTGATAAAACTGGAGGACAACAGACTGATTGAAACTGTAGGTATACCCGTGGAAGATGAAAACGGCTCGGTTCGACTTACTGCATGTGTCTCATCACAGGTACTATGCGAAAATGCTGATCAACTAGTGAACATACTCTCTTGTACTGCTGGGTGAAAATGCATCATGGGAATTGTTTCCTTTCTTTTCTTTTTGGGGTCATTTTTTTGCTTCCATAATACAGGTTGGTTGCGCGCTAAAATGCTCATTCTGTGCAACTGGAAAAGGGGGCTTTTCAAGAAATCTTCAGGCACATGAAATTGTTGAACAGGTTTGTCTTATCTTGTATCATGTCCTTGTGGGAGGACATATTTGTTTGAGCATGGGAGTGTTAGAGTCCAATATGTTTTTCTCTGATGAATAAACATGTATTATGCTATGTTATGTTCCATTCAAGGTTCTTATTAGGGATATATGCAGGTGCTAGCTATTGAGGAGACTTTCAAGCATAGGGTGAAAAATGTGGTGTTTATGGGAATGGGGGAGCCGATGTTAAATCTTAAATCTGTTCTTGAAGCACACAGATGTTTGAATAAGGTCAGCTCATGAACCATGAATCATTATTCAGATCTGTTGCTCTGCTGCTTAATTTTGTATAGTTTTGTCGCTGATAATTTCGATGATATATTCAAATCTTGGAAGCAACAGTTTTCTTCATCTAGATTCCTGTGACATCCTTTTTATAACTCTTCAAATTGAAAAGAATCAAGTTATATAGTCAGATACTTGCACAGGAGGGAAAACAAGAGGGATCTTTTTTCTTTAGGCCATCAAAGAAGAGAGATGTTGAAATTCTGGATTTTCAAGTTCATTGCCTGATGTTCTCTCTCTCTCTCTCTCAATTGGGGTATGTAACATGATGGTGGCTGTACTTTTCTTTACCAATTTGCATTCATTTGTCAAGGATGTGCAAATTGGGCAAAGGATGATCACAATTTCAACGGTGGGAGTTCCAAACACAATAAAGAAACTGGCTTCTCACAAAATTCAGTCTACATTGGCGGTCAGGTATCAATTTGCAAGTAGCTGAAGAATCTGCTGCTCACTTTACTGTCATGATTCTTTTACTTGGTAGTGCTTAATAGTTGGACTGAAATAGACAGCATGAAAATTTTCCTGGTAATGTGTTATTTGTTTTGTATTCACTAGCATATGAGGATATGATGGACGCCTTACACTTGTCAATCTGTTTCTACTGCAGTTTACTTTAATAGTCTTTAGCAGTTGCAGTATAACATTATTTTCCACTGCTTATCTAATTATTGATGCCGCTTCAGTTTCTTTGTCTGTCTTGAATTAGTTTGGCTCAATTGTTTTACAGCTTGCATGCTCCAAACCAGAAACTTAGAGAATCGATAGTGCCAAGTGCCAAATCCTATCCATTGTATGCAATAATGAAGGATTGCCAGGACTACTTCCAAGAAACCAGTAGAAGGGTGTCGTTTGAGTATGCCCTTTTAGGTACTTTTGCTCTACTGTAATCATGCATTATGCCTAGTTTTCCTTTGTCTTGCCTGAAGTTGCGAACTTAAACATGCATAGAACTCATACTCATGTATGTCTGTAGCTGGAGTCAATGATGCAGAGGAGCATGCCATAGAACTTGCTGAGTTGCTGCATGAGTGGGGGCGTGGTAATCATGTAAACCTGATTCCTTTTAATCCAATTGATGGCTCTGATTATAGGCGTCCATCCAAAAAAGCGGTAAGTTGATGATATTGAATTATGATCTGTTCATTTTAGCGTGAAGAGTGCCTCATCAACTGGTCCTATAATCTAATTTTTGACTGAATTATGTGATATGTAAAGGTTTTGGCATTTGCAAGTGTTCTCGAGTCCCGCAAAATAGCAGTTAGTGTACGTCAAACAAGGGGCCTGGATGCAAGTGCAGCTTGTGGTCAATTGAGGAACAAATTTCAGAAGAGTCCTCTGCTTGCCGAAACTGATGAGATGCAATCCCAGCCGGAAATTGCAATGGCGTGTTAGACGGCAAATATCTTTGGTCGCATGGTTCTAGGAATTCGAATACCACATGCTCGACCATTGGTTTCTGAGCGCAAGAGACAAAATGGAAGTGATGAAGCGTGCGCTATGCAATAGTCCATTGCTTTATCTCTGGCATTTATCCTGCGAAGCGGACACTTGACCACCTGAAGCCACTCGAGGGGAGGAAAGATGGGTCAATTTCTAGCAAGATGAGGCGATGGTACCACATAATCCACGAGCAGAGACAAGTCATTTTTGCTGCAAAAGTTATTCAGAGCATTGAACGAAATAGCCTGATGAAGAACTTGAGTGACTAGCTGCTCATGATAGATTTATGAGATTGTATATGTAGATTGTATGGGGATCAATTTCAAGGGAGTAACCTCTTGTAGTTTTAACGCCATGTTTCCTTCGTGCTTAGCTTAGGAGGTAACGTCAATGTGGACGTTGTATACCACAAGAGCTTGTAAGGAATCGCAATATTTTTGTTTTCGTCTTTAGTGTTCTTTTAGATTTTGTCGGTCTAACTTTGACTTTCAAGGTTGTAATATTATTTATTTAATTGCCTCAAGGGTCCAAGTTCCAATCAACTGGACTGGACCTTCTATTTTCTTCTTAAGGTGTGTTTGTTTTATAAAAAAAGATTTTCATGAAATGATTTTTTAAATCTTCATTTGTTTGGTTAGTTAACAATGGATAATCAATTGAAAGAAGTTTACGGTAAAGGAAACAACCAATTGTAGGATATTGATTTTTCCATCTTAAAAAGAAGAAATCGTTTTCCCAAACTCCATTTCCACGTGCATGTTCACGTACAGCTTCAATCTATCTAATCTCTCTCTACACTAATCTTCACTCCTTTTCGGTGCATTCTGTTTGGGCGCTAGCATGGTGTCATTCTTTGAGGGAAAATTGTCAAATCAGTCCTAAACCTATTGTACGGCGGTCAATTCAGTCCTAACCTTTTTAATTTTGCCAATTTAGTCCTAAACCTTTTAAATTCTTGCCAATTGAGTCATTCCGGCCAATTTTGGCCGGCCGGCGCTGGCCGTCCGGCGCTAAAGTGGCCGCCGGCCGTCCGGTCGGCGCCGGCCGTCCGGTCAACGCTGACGTGGCAATTTTTTAATTATTATTTTTCAATTTTTTAATTTTTTTTTTCTTTTTTTTTTTCTGCTGCCTCCCCTCTGGCCGGTCCGGCGACCGGCCAGAGGGGAGGGCCGGCGAGCCTCGCCGGCCCCTGGTTGGGCGAGGCGAGGTCGGCCTCGCCTCGCCGTCGCGACCAAGGCGACGACGAGGGTCGACCTCGCCTCGCCTCGCCTCGCCTTGCCGTCGCGACCCGGGCGACGGCGAGGCTCGACCTCGCCTCGCCTCGCCGTCGCGACCCGGGCGACGGCGAGGCTCGACCTCGCCTCGCCTCGCCGTCGCGACCCGGGCGACGGCGAGGCAAGGCGAGGTCGAGCCTCGCCGGATCCGGGCGAGGCTCGACCTCGCCGTCGCGATCCAGGGCGACGGCGAGGCGAGGTCGAGCCTCGCCGGATCCGGGCGAGGCTCGACCTCACCGTCGCGACCCGGGCGACGGCGAGGCTCGACCTCGCCTCGCCGTCCCCGGATCGCGACGGCGAGGTCGAGCCTCGCCCGGATTTGGGCGAGGCTCGACCTCGCCTCGCCTCGCCTCGCCTCGCCGTCGCTTGGATCGCGACGGCGAGGTCGAGCCTCGCCCGGATCCGGCGAGGCTCGACCTCGCCGTCGCGACCCAAGCGGCGGCGAGGCTCGACCTCGCCTTGCCTCGCCTCGCCGTCGCCCGGGTCGCGACGGCGAGGCGAGGCCGACCTCGCCTCGCCCGGCCCGGGGGCCGGCGAGGCTCGCCCCGCCGGTGGCCGGCGGGGGCGAGCCGCCCGAGGCCTCGCCGGCCTCCCCTCGCCCGGTAGGTCGGTCGCGGACCGGTCGGAGGGGAGCGCAAGAAAAAAAGAAAAGAAAAAGAAAAAGAAAAAGAAAAAGATTAAAAAATTCAAAAAAAATAATTAAAAATTGCCATGTTAGCGTTAACCGGACGGCCGGCGCCGGCCGGCGGCAGCGCCGCGCGCGCAGCCGTGTCAGCGTCGGCGCCGGCGTCAGCGTCAGCGCGCACGGCGGTCACGTCGGCCAGCCGGCCGGCCAAAATTGACCGGAAGGACTCAATTGGCAAGAATTTAAAAGGTTTAGGATTGAATTGACAAAATTAAAAAGTTTAGGACTGAATTGGCAGCCGTACAATAGGTTTAGGACTGATTTGACAATTTTCCCCATTCTTTGATTGCTCTTTTGGAAATGAAGAACCATTCTCACATGAAGTTTATGAGCACCGAGAGATTAACTTTGTTAATTATTTGCATTTCCTTTTTTTCTTGCATCGGTTTCTTTATTTTGACAACAAATATACGGGTTAATACCACAAAAATCCCAAACTGGTACATCCGTGATAAATTTATCCCGAATTAATTTTAGGATCATAACAAATAAAAAACTGATACACTTGTGGCAAATTTACCATCCATTAAATTAGATTAATATTATAAAAAATCTAAAATCAGTAAATCTATGATAAATAAAAGGATAAAATCTTAAACTGAAACGTGTCAACTTCTATGTATCATCCAAATGCAATGGCAATGTGTGGAGGTGAACTACGACTCTTTGGCGGAGTGGATAAGGTGCTGGATTGCTGCGTCGCATCATTGGTCCTGATGACCTTGCGTCTATGATAGAGAACAATTTGACTTCTCGATTCGTGTGCGACCGGAAGCTCTCATGGAAACATTTCTAGTGTTGCACGATCTTATAATTGGAAGTATTGTACATATCGGGCCTTTCACGAAACTTACGTGGAAAAGAAATTCAATGAGTTTATTCAGCAACAACTATTATCGTGTTTAACCCTGTCGGACGTGGGTCTTCCCAAGCCATCTTAGAGTATGCACAAGCTGACCCTAGAGTATGCACAAACAGACCGGGGGTGAGACCTGGGGCTTGGGTGTTCTATGATTTATTTGGCAATAGTAGGTGATGATAACGACCGAGCCTTTTCCATCTAAATGAAGTTGGAAACGCGGATCCATTAATGCTATTCAGATCTCTTTCAAAGTATCGTCCCCCATCTTTTTAGACTTTCTCCTATCCTTTGTATCGGCCATCTTCATCACGTCGTCAAGTCTTCTAAAATTCTCTAGAGTTCGTCTTCACATGTTTGAACCCTTCTCTCACCTTATCCTCTAGCGAAACCACATTGGTGTTTCCTCAATGCACACATTTGCTTTTCCATCTTTTCATGAGTATTTCAATAAAGTCAGGAGGATCCATCAAGTCTTGGCAGCGAGGATAAAGCTTTGGAAAGTCTATGTCGGCTGTTAGAGTTCTTCATCAGCAGAGGAGAGGGTTAGGTCGTATTAGATGAAAGGCATATGTGTGGTTGGGAGGGAGATCTTTCATGCCCATCTAGATCCACCTTATAACATGGGGTCTGGCAGTTCAAACCCATTGTGAAAAGGAATACTCGAGCAGATATTTTGAGAGTTTTGCAGTTTCCACAGAATGATTGTTTCTGAACCATCTATGCTAATGGTTGAGAGTGGAAAGCGCCTCTTGTATATGATTTCTTCGAGAGAATTCATCATACATTGTACTCAAATAGAGCGAGGAACAATTTTTATTAGGGGTTGTACTTGAGAGAAAACACTTGTATGATCTTCTATTCTTTCTTGTGGATTATGGACCATGTTTTCTTGCAGACAAAGTTCATGTTCACCGAACCGCATAATTCTATGTACTCTCTGTTCTCAATGCTTCCGATTTGTTTTTAACAAATGGTTTCAAGGTACCAGAATTTTACTGCTGTAAGGTTTGATAATCCGCTAAAATTTGGTCAGTTAGCTTCCTCGTTGGGCTTTCCTAACGAACTAAATGGATTAACCTATGCTTCAACACCAGTATCAAATCAAGCTAGACTCAAACACAGGTTGCTTTCAAAGTTTTGATAAAGGAGCATCGACTTCAGGAGGACTGATGTCATATGATCTTCAATGCTTTGCTCTGATTGAGCGACTAACGTACTATAGTTATCAAATTCTGCAGCGATTATTGTGTTAATCTATGTATAAGCAGACTCTCATGAAAGTATGCTCCTCTGAAGAGCACGGAGGGATGAAGATGGACATTTCTTAAAGTACTAAACTGACAACAAATGCTACTAGAATACTTCAATTTCCATGAGTGTATACGCTCTTATGAGATCCTCCTCGTGGAGGAATCTCGAACCACAACTTTACCTACGAGCAGGTAAATTTATAAGGAACATGATCAATTAAAAAAGGGCTTTTACACACATCATGGTTGTCTTAACATCATCTGGCTTATTTGTATATTACTAATTGCGATACTCGGTTCCACTCACCTTCAATTGTTTATCACTCAAAATCATTGTGATCCCAGCCACACATCATGTGCCTGCCTTAGATTTTTCTCATCTAGGACTCAACTCACAAAAAGGGTTAATAATCTTCATGGAAGTAGAGTTTTAGCATCTTAAGTGCCACATAAAGATGGGAAGATGTTTTTTTTTGCTAACTTGTGAGAAATCCTAGTCCATCTGCCACAGAGCTCTTTGAAGCTGTTGCGGTCGATCAAAGACATGTTGAAGGCTGATCTAAAGAATTTGACTTGGCTAAGCTACGAAAGGCGTCGCATTTTGAGAAGTTGTTTCGTGCGACGGCTAGGAGCGGCAACATCTATCATGTTTGGAAGGGCCCGTTTGGTTCAGCTTTTCAAATGCTACTTGGGGGAATGCAAATACCTTTAAGTGAAAGTCACTTGAGGAAATGCAAATGGTGTTTGGTGAAAAAAATTTTATGAAGCTACTTTAACCTAAGTAGTGTTTGGTAAAATTTTTTTTGCAAAGGGTCTTGGCAAATTTTATTTTTAATATTCCGGTTTTGCCCTTATTACTGTTCATCTTCTTCACCGGCGAGGGTGACTAGCGTGGGTGGCCGGCGAAGGGCCGGCGAGGTCGCCCGACCCGGGCGACGGCCGCTGGGGTTGGGCGATTGCCCGGGCGACCCAGGGCGGCCGTCGCAGGGTCCGGGCGACCTCAGGCGACGGTTGCTTGGGTCGCACGACCTCAGGCGACCGTCGCCTGAGGTCGCCCAACCCAGGCGACGGCGCCTGGGCAGTAGCTCGACCCCAGGTGGCCGTTGCCTGGGTCGGGCGACCTCGCCGGCCAGATCCGCCCTCGCCGGCCCTTCGCCGGCCACCCTCGCCGGTGAAGAAGATGAACAGTAACATGGGCAAAATCGGAATATTGAAATTTGAGTGAGGGCAATTTAGGAAGGGAAAAATATGCTTCAGCATTCCAAATGCCAGCTTTCGGCTTTCCGAGTTCGGAAAGCTGAACCAAACGGGGCCGAAGTTCAAAAAATTTCCCGATCGAAGTCAGTCTGTTAACGAGGATCAAGTGTTGGAGGACATCATTTTTCATGTCAAGTATAGTGAGAAATTTCGAATAGGATAACTTAATCAGTTCCCCTTTTGTGAGGAATAGAAATTAGGAAGTATGCAAAGGATGAAAGGTTTGTAGCAGGCTTGGCCTTCACCATCGCGCTTTCAGACAAAGTCTGTTCAAGTCAGCTAGACATGCAAACTATCTGAGGCAGGCAGAAAATAGGCATCTTTTATACTTTAAGACACAAATAAAACTTAGAAAGATCTAAATGTACTTGTTTATTAGTGTATTCAAGACATAGCCTTATCTTCAAGGACATATAACCGAAGATTAAGGAGTTAAAGAAAGTCTCAAAGGCCTAAAAGTAATCTTAAGATTTAGTTTCGTAATGGAAGAAGTTATAGGCATCTCCTCAGATCCACAAATTATTAGTGATCTGCCCTAGGAATCAATCAAGGTTGATACTCTAATATTAGTTGTGGATTAGGTTGTGTCGAAAAACCGACCTTCACTATACTTAGGTAGTCATAATGTCTTGCTAGAGACCGCTTATGACTTGTGGGCCAAAAAGGGTTTTAAGCACACTGCTAATGTTTAGTGAACCTACAGGGTCGCACACAAAAGCGAACTGAGTTAATATTTTCTGTGCGCCGGGATCTACTTAAAATAAGAAGTAGATTTTAATTTATTCTCATATTCAACTTATCTACGCAGTCGTGTATGTTATTAGATAACGATTAAACGTACGATTGAAGGTGGATAGTTTGGTGGGCCCAAATCGCCCGGCCCCACTTCTTTTAATTCACGTAGATAATGAGGCTATATATATAGCGTGGGGGTGACGAAAAACCCTAAGTGAGAAAAAACGCCTCCAAGAGAATACGAAGAGAATCGTTCTCTGTTCAGAGATCTTTGAGAGAGTCTCGAAGATCAAAGGCGATCAGAAAAAGAAGTCCAAGATCTTTAGCTAGCACTTGGATCATTGGAGACTTATGTTCGTGTGTGTGGATACCGGTAGAGGCGCAACACTTGGGGCGCTAATCCAGACACAACTGTCAATTTACGTTCGATTTGCATAAGGTATGTATCGAACTTCTGTTTCAACTTCAATATACATATGGATCCTGTCTAAGGTTCTAGGGTTTCGGTTTACAAATATATTCCGCTGCGTTTTAACAACTGTGGAACCCTACGTCGAACCCTACAAAAATGTGGGGAAGCGATTGTGCGGGATTGTAAATGATCTTCTTCTTTTGTTTTCGACTTGGTTTGAGTTGCTGTTTCCTATCCTCAAGTCACGTGACGAGATAATTTCGGCAAGTTAAACTTCCAGTAAGTTCGCAATAAACCGACAACATTAATTACAATCGACCGATAGAATTACTCATAGACGAGGCGCACATGTTACGCGACGCAACCACATCATAATAAGCTTAAGTGTCACAAAATAATTAAACTACTCCATTTCAGCAGATATATTTCACATAACTAGACTACTGCATAGCTAGACTAACTACATATCATTAGCCCACTACTTCAAAATCTTGATCAAGTAAACATAGCTGTGATAAAGGTTGAGCCGGAAGGGATAAATAAAGATCGATAGCATAGATACTTCGATCTACAAGGATAACTCTCAATGCCAAAGAATCATTAAAAAAATAAAGAACTCAACACTAAATGCGCAAGCGAAAAGCTTCACTGGAGTTTAAAGACCACTACCATCTTTCTTGCCCGGACGACTTGCAAGAAAAAGCGACATCACCGTTCCGTTTGATCACCTCCAGCTCGAAGTAAACTACGTCAACCAACAGAAGATCAAAACTTTACCGTCATCCACAGAATTTCAAGCAGATTTTGTAGATTTACTCGATGAGAAAGAACAACATCTAGCTTACCACACAAAAAACCGTGAACCCATGTACAAAGGTTAAAACCTCCGATCAGGATGAACATCTCATGAGTGATATATAGAGAGAGACATGTCGTAGTGACGTACAAAGACCAAGCTCAAGACGATTGTAATGAATTTCGAAGCTTTTAAAGGTTCGGTCATGCACATTTGAGCCCTACTTAAAATATTTCGCAACTTTTCAAAGGAAAATGGAAAGAAAAACTACCGCAATAAAAGTGATATAGTCCACAGAGTGAATAAGTACCTCGGTCGGAAATTGACCAGAGTTGTCGTCGGTGGAATTTTTGTTCAGTCAGAGAGATGAGGACCATTGTATTTGTCTTTGATGAGGAAAATGTATGTGAAAGAAAGTAAAAAAATTTGACCTTTAGGACTCTTGAATTACTAACGGCCAGAGTTTAAGAGTTATTGCAGTACCATCTATGCAATTTTCATTCGCGATCCTAGCTCGGTAATACGTGACTAATTACGTGGGCCCACCCTCCCCATTCATGGAGCCAAATTGCATACCAAGTATGTTGTACGTGAGCTATGCCTTGTGGGATGTTGAGCAGGTATTATTGGATTACTAAGTGTAAATTTCATGAAACCATCATGATTAAACTTACAGAGATTTCACAAACACAAGTGAAGAATAACTGGATCAAAGACATTCAGCATTGTATAAGACCGAGCTTATAATATAATGGGTCAACAAGTTTCTTTTTATTTTGTTTTCGTGTGCATATCATTGTTATTAAATAAACCTCATTACAGATTATTTACATAATAAACCTGTTTCATGATTTAATTAATTGACATGGGCGGTCAATATCTTACGGATTCCTTTTTCTTTTAAATATCCAAAATCTCTAGAACGAGTTTCAGTAATAAATGTTTTTCAAAGAAAATCTTATAGAATTTTCTCAGGCTGTATATGAGATTAGCCAGCTTCTTTCTATATAGCCGATCCATCGATAGCCATCTAGTGATCGGAGAAGCACAAATGGACATGTTCACAATTATGTCTGCAATTCATATTATTGGCGGATACTTTCAATATTAATTATTGCAGGGCAATTATTGGCTTGTTCGATATGCCCAAATTTGATCGCCCTTCAAATATGGCAAAAAAAACAAAACGAGGAGGTATGCATGGTATACTTACGTGCCTTTCGGGCACATAAATATAGAACAAAATCCGACCCTATAATTAACGTCATATGTAGGGGTGAGTTATATTTAGTTTTTTTATCGGAAACTTTCATTTAATTCTCATACATTTATGTGAGTAGTTTTTTAGTCAAATTGAATTTGGAGTGCTATGATTTCTTTCCCCCGAAGATGAGATAGAGCTTCCGTGGAGCTTCAGGAGACTTCGTCCAAAACAATTTATTTATAAGAAGCTTGTATAGACGAACACCTTTATCCTTTTTGGAGCAGAGGATGTTAGCCATGCGATTCTCTCTTTTGTTTTGGACTTCGAATTGAATCTAATGGATTCAATACAGACATTCACATATATTAGTATAACATTGTGAGGAAACAAAGCTTTCACATCGATGCATTACTTTGTCAAAATAAAATTTCTTTTGCTTTTCTGCACTCATGATTGACATGCAAACTGAATCGGGGGAGGAGAACAAAAATTGGACTAGCAGAATTTTATTTCACCAAAGTGAACCAAAGTTGGCCAATATTTTGGACAGTCGCAAAACGAAATCACTTTTCCAAACCGTTCTATCTTGCAGTGTTATTCAACTTACTGCAAAGACTTAAAGTTGGACATCTTAGTTGGGGGAGGTGCCGCTGGAGAGGAGTCGAGATCAGAAGGACCTTTCCAAGTGTTAAAGCTTAGCCAACCAAAAGCGGAACCTGCAATTTCCGGAAGCCGATGAAAAAGCATGTCCTTGGGAGTGGTCCTCACCTCCTGACAGACTTGGTTGATGCTCTTGCCGTTCTTCAAGTAGATGCAAGAATACGGTTTCCTGGTCTTCCCTCCAGCATGGCGCTCAAAGTCGCAGGGAGTGATGTACTGCACGATTCAACATAGAAGACACAAGTTACCTTACAAATCCCCAACTCTTACTGTCTTCTTCAACTATAGGACTGAACAGAAAGAGAAATAAATCAGGGTACAATCAATTGCTTACTTTAGAGTTGTTGCATTCGTTGCAGCTACAGAGAATCTTCGATCCTTTTATAACACCGTGAAGAATTATCTGTGGAACTCCGTGCGTCAAGTGTCGAATAAAGAACCAGAAAAATTAAGAAGAACAAAGCATCAAAGAGACTGTACAATGACCATACGAGAAAGAACTTACATCACGGCTCCTCAAAGTGTACTTCACCGGAGCCCCATCAAATACTCCGGTCGATAACAGACTCTGATTGGATAACGGGTATATGTTAGGGCCAGGCTCACTAGCCATGGCTAACTTCTTTCCTCTGCATGCTTTCTGGTTTTTTGTGTTACCAACCAGATTCGGATTGCTCTCTGAAGTAAGAGGAGCATTTGGCTCAACTACTCCCACCTGACTAGTTGCCCCTGAAGATAGAGTAGAGTTCTGATTGTTTGTCGTCGCCTCAACATTGGCAGTGACCTTGACTCCTTCAGGAACAACGCCATTTCCTTTGTCCTCCTCATTGTTGCCACTTGACGTTTGATGTGCATTGCATCCACCACTGCTAATGACAAGAACATTTATGTTCTCCTGACGAGCATTCGGCTCAACGGTGTTTGTTGGGCTAGTAGCTTTTGACAAATGAGTGTAGTTTCTATAGTCCAAAGTTGCCTTGTTTTCAACAATGGTCATGCAAGATGTATCTTCCATAGGTCCTCCATCAGCTTTGCCAGAGGCAATTGTATTTGTCTCCTCCTCACAGTTGCTGCCTAAAGTGAGACGCGGGTTCAATCCTTCATTGTGAATCATATCCATTGGAGTGTCATTCCCATTTTTAATCTGACACGAACGACCCGAAGCCAAGAAGCTGCCATAGTACTTGTTAGAGCCAACAGTCCTCAACAATCTTCCGTCGCCGACCTTTCTAAAAGAGTTCCTTATTGGCGCAGACACGACATTTTCTGAATCAAGAACGTCATTAACTTTTGCCTTTACGATTTCATTGGGATTGTGAGAATTCGCCAGGGCATCACCTTGACATGCATCCTTGAAATCCTTCCTTCCAGCGCTCGTACCATCAGTACCAAGTGACACACTAGCCGTGTATAGAGATGGTGAGGGCCTTGCTACAAGGCAGCCTTGGACTTGCCCTGGAATTGACGGACAACAGGAATTGGTACCAAGTGACACATTAGCTTTGTCCAATGGATAAACACTCCTTAGCAAAACATTTGGCCCGTTGATGGCTGCTTCAATTGCTTGTTTCTTGTTGCTTGACATTCCTAGACGAGTTATGTCCGTTAGCCACGGATAGGCACGCTTCGGAGAATATTTTCTGGGCATATAATAGCTCAGTCCAGTATATTTGCTGCAACCGTTGTCCTTTGTCATTGGATAGAGCTCCCGCCCGAAGGTCTAGAAAATAAATGAATAATTTCATTTAGTGGAGATAGAAGACTAATGTGCACAAATAGAATCTAAGTATCTTGAAAGAAAAAGAAATGAGTACGGCAAGGGAAACAAGTATACTTTCGCTAGCAGAATGAAAAACATCTAGTCATGCAGACGATGTAAATCACTCTGATATAAAGCCCACCGGATAGGGTAAGGGCAACTATAGCAATTTGACGGAACAAAATAACTCTTATCGTGGTATAATTAAAGCGGACTGCCTACATAAACAAAGATACGTACAGTTTGTGATTCTTAATATTCATATAGACCACAATACAACAAAATCCACCAGCTATAGCGTAACGACATGCCAATTTACAAGCTTTACACGCACATGCATTGTGGTGATTAAGGACATAATGGAAAGACATTGTTCAAGTGAGATCTTTGTTTTCTCTTTTAAGCATTCTACTCTTTTTAATTGCACTGCAAGGCTTGATGTCAAAACAGAAAGATCAGTTTTTCTTCAAGAAATCCCCGATTGAAGAGTTTCTTGAAAAACATCCGTCTTTGTTCTAAACCGTTGCCAAGATTATATGGGAGAAAATGTGGATGTAAAAAGACCTGCCAGTTTCTTACTTAACTCATCATCAATGAGCTTCCATGTGAGTATGGATATGAATATTATCTAAAGCTCTCCGGAACACCTTTGGTAATTCGGTTGAATTGTCAAAGTTGTTTTGTTAACAAAGGTTCCAGGTCGCCTATTAAGCCAACTATGTATAGGGATTAGGGAGTTTATACTTTCAGAAAACTTGAAACTGGCAAAGGGCGACAAATCTGAACATCACGGCAAAATTTGACATGAAAAAGGGAGAGAAACCTTCAAAGCTCTCCAAAACACGTCAAGCGTCTCGAAGAAACCGATAATCAAATCCTCATTAAGTATCTTATCTAGCTTATATGCGAGCATGACAAAATTTGACATGAGAAAGCGGGTGAATCCTGCTTACCCCTCCAGAACACGTTAAGCATCCTGATGAAAGTGTTAATCAAATCCTCATTAAATATCTTATCCAGCTTATATGCGAGACACAAAACATAGGTACAAAGATGAGAAATGGCAAAAATAGTCACACAAATTACCTAAATGCAATATCAGATTCATACCAGTCGCTATTTCAGCATGACTTACCTTAAAGAATAGCATAAGAGAGTTATACGGTATTGGCCAAGTCCAGCAGCATCATAAGAATCCACTCTAAATTAAGACGTAAGTGCATGACTTTTCAAGAAGAAGATATTTATGGCTTACGTGTTCCGCATTTATCAACGGCGAAATGATTTTAGAGAGTTTTAGTATACAAATCTGAATCATGATGAAACTCTGCTAGAGCTTGAGGATTTGAGTTTAGACAAGTATTCTCTCTATAATCTCAACCTTTTGAGATCGGGGACTTGGCTACTCTATGATTTATATGGCAGTAGTAGGTGATGTTAATGACCGAACCTTTTCCATCTAAATGGAGTGGGAAAGCGGATCCATTGATGCTATTTAGATCTCTTTCAAAATATCATGTTTGGAAGTTTAAAAATTTCCCCATAAAAGTTAGTCTTCTAATAAGGATCAAGCGTTCGGCAACATCCTTTTTCATGTCAAAGGTAGACGAAGGAGGATTAGAAACATCTAAGGGAACAATTCGACCAATTCTCATTGTGAGAGGAACAGAAATAGGGGAAGTTTTCAGAAGTTAGATTTCTAGCAGGCTTGGCTCTCATCGTCGAGCTTCCAGACAGTGTCTGTTCAAGTCAGCTAGATGCGCGAACGATATCAGAGGGAGGCAGAAAATTGGCATTTTTTGTTCTTTAAGATACGAAAACAAGCCAGAGAAAGATCTATATGTACTTGTTTATTATTGTGTTCGAGCCATGACCTTATCTTTCTGGACATATAACTGAAGATAAAGGAGCTGAAGAAAGTCTCATAGGCCTTCAAGAGGAATCTAAGATCTAGTTTGGCAACGGAAAAAGTGTTAGGCCCCTCTTCCAATCCAAAAATATTGGAGAGTAATTGTCCGCAATCCTAGATGATCTTCTTATCACATTTCCAACTTGGTTCGAAATGCCGTTTGCACCCCTCTAGTCAGGTGATGAGATAATCCCAACAAGTCAAGTTTACGGTAAGTTTGCAATAAACCGACATCATTAATTACAGCCCTAGGGATAGAAATACTCAGAGACGATGCGGGTGTGTCACGCAACGCAACACGCAACGACATCATGGTATGCTTAAGTGTCACAAGACATTTAAAGTGTTCCATTTCAGCGCGCCCACACACACACACACACACACACATATATATATATATATATATATATATATATATATATATCATATAACTAGACTAACCGCATATCATTAGCCCACTACTTCAAAATCTTGATTAAGTAAACATAACCACGACAAAATAGTTGAGCCGGAAGTGAAAAATGTAGATCGATAGCATGAAACCTTGATCCACTAGGCAAACTATTAGCGCCAAAAATTCATAGAAGCAAAATAGCATAATTCGACAGAAAAATCGGAAGGCAAAAGCTTCACTAGGAGTTCCAAGGCCACTAACATTTTTCTTGCCTGGAAGACTTGCGAGCAAATGCGACGTCTGCTTTTTATCACCTCAAGCTCGAAGAACACTGCGTGAACCACCCAAAGATCAAATTTTTACTGTTATTTAATTATGAAATTTTAAACAGAACTCGTAGATTTACTCCATGGAAAAGAACAACCGCTAGCCTACCACACAAAAAACTGTGCACCCCTGTACAAAGGTTAAAACTTTCAATCAAACAAACTTGCAATGAGTGATCTATAGAGAGAGACATGTTGTAGTGACATACAAAGACTAAGCTCAAGACGATCGTAATGAATTTCGAAGCTCTTAGAGGTGCGGTCATGCACATTTGCACCATACTTCAAATATTTAACACCTTTTCAAAGGAAAATGAAAAAAAAAATCAACAGCAATAAAAATGGTACAGTCCATAGATTGAATAAGTACCTTGGTTGGAAATTGACCAGAGTTGTCGCCGCCGGCACGTTTTGTTCCTTGCTGGAGAGACTAGGATGATTGTATTTCTTTTGGATGAGGAAGATGTATGTGAAAGAAGATGAGGAAGATGTATGTGAAAGAAAGGTTAAAAACTTGACCTTTGAGACTCTCGAATTACTAAAGGCTAGGGTTTAAGAATTATCGCCTTACCATTTATGACATTTCCATTCTCGACGTCCTTATCTCGGTAATACGTGGATAATTATGTGAGCCCACCCTCCCCAGTCATGAGCGAAATTACATACCAAATGTGCATATTGTGAGGTGTGCCTCGCAACATGTTGAGATGGTTTTATTGATTATTGGTAGAGTAAATTTCAAAACAAATTATCCTTATGAATTGCAAATAAAGCATTTTCAGAACACAAGTGAAGAAATATTGGATCAATGACATTTAGCGTCGTATAAAAGAGAGCCTATGATATGATGGGTCGACATGTTTTTATTTATTTATTGTGTTTTGTTGTGCGTACCTTTCTTTTCAAATAGAAGTCGTTAAAGATTAGTTAAATTGATGAACATATTTTATGGTTTGATTAATCGACAAGTGGGAGTCAATATCCTATGGATTCTTTTCCTTTTATATATCTGAAGTCTCTAAAATGAGTTCCAGTAAATTAATTTCTTTCAAAGCAATTATTATATGTACAATTTAGTCGGGCTATATGCGATCAGCAAGTTGCTTCCTATATAGCCGATCCATCGATAGAATTCACACATATTTCTTGCTGAGTTATACTTGTGCCACGGACTTAATATGGCTATTCCAGTGGTCGGAGAAGAACAAATGAACATATTCATAATTATTGCAGGGCAATTATTAATTCCTTCGATAAGCGCTAAATTAATTGCCCCATAATATGGCCAAAAAAAAAAGAGGGGGTATGAATGGTATGCTTACGTGGCTTTCATGCGTGTAGATATAGAAGAGAATCCAACCGTATAATTATTGTCATATGTATCTGTGAGTTATATCTAATTTCTACGAGATACGTTCATAATTAGACTTAATTATGAGAAGTGTACAAATGGTAATAATGACCGGAGGAAGCTGCAGTTAAAGGATAAAATCATTGAATTCCTTGTTCATTTAGGTGAGTAGTTTTTTAGTCAAATTGAATTACGTGCATCCGTTGTCCTTTGTCATTGGAAAAAGTTCATGCCCGACGGTCGAGAAAATTAATGAATAATTTTAATTAGGGGAGATAGAAGACTAATTGACACAAATAGAATCTAAGTATCTTAAAAGTAAAAGAAGTGAGTACGGCAAGGGTAAAAAGTATACTTTCCCTAGCAGAATGAAAAACATCTAGTCATGCATATGAGTTAAATTGTAGCTCTGATATAAAGCCCTATCGATAGGGTATGGGCAGCTATAGTAATTTGATGGAACAAAATAACGCTTAACGTAGTATAATTAAAGCGGACTGCCTACATAAACAAAGATACGTACAGTTTATGATTGTTAATAGTCATATAGACCACAACAGAACAAAATCCACTAGCTACAACATAATGACATGCCAATTCAAAGGCTTTACACAAACATGCATTGTGGTGATTAAGGACATAATGGAAAGACACTGTTCAAGTGAGGTTTTTGTTTTCTCTTTTAAGCACTCAATTCTTTGTAATTGCACTGCAGGGCTTGATGTCAAAACAGAAAGCTCAGTTTTTCTTCAAGAAATCACTAATGAAGAGTTGCTTGACCAAAGTAGTCGCCTGCGGGAATGTTTGTTCCTTGTCGGAGAGATTAGGACGATTGTATTTCTCTTGGACGAGGAAGATGTATATGACAGAAAGTTTAAAAATTTGACCTTTAGGACTCTTAACTTACTAATGGCCAGTGTTTAAGAGTTATTGCGTTACCATCTAAGCGATTTCCAT